GTGTTTTTACAGTCTTTATTTTACAGCTAAAATATATGTTTATTAAATAAAGTCTAATGTTACAACTAATCAKGGATCCCTTTAAAGAGATAATCCAGGCAATCTTGGTGAGATGTTCTAGTGGTTACCAAAAATACCGTATCAGCCGTGACATCAGTCATTAAACACAGTTTGTACTCTTTAAATGACAAAAATAAACCCACAAAGGTCTCTGAAATTATATGAAACTACGCTGTTTTTTTCCTAAGAGACAACTGAAACTCAACAGATAAAAATCAGCCACTGATTTTACATTTTAATTTATTTTAAAAATAAACCATTGAATCTGAGCTTGTCTTAAAGGATGGTTTCCTTAATTATTTCCACCAAAGAACTCGTTATATTTTGGTGGTGATTTTGCAACATCTGACAGAGTTAATCAGCATCCAGCAGAACGTTGGTCCACATGTACACATGTAGGGTTATTATGTTCAAATGTTTGTCCTATCAAGTTTAGCTGTAATTAGTTGTTACATGATTGTGTGCAGGGAAGTGGTACACAGAACCAGTTCAACRATCTACCTGTCCTTGTTTGTTGGACTGCTCAGACCAGCACACCTGAGATCCTGAAGGGTGTGTGGATGTATTTAATAAATAATAAATTCATATATATCAGTGTTAATATGGTGTGAAACATTACCTCTCCAATGGCAACAAGCTCATCTTTGTATTTCTCTATGAGCGGTATCGCTGCATCCAGATCCTGTAAATCAGACAGAACCGTTTACTAATCAAACAACACGTTTTATTCATTTCCCAAAGGGAAACTGGTTTGTAGCATCAAACACACAAACACCATCCTCACAGAACWTCACATTCATTCTATTAACACCACACAATTTAAGACAACACTTACTTTAAAAAAACACACATGCTGAAAAATGCAATAAAATGCATTGTGCTCCTGAGACTGCAGTAGTTTAAATTATGTGTAAAAAATTAGCTATTGTAATCTAAGCCAGGGAGATTAAACTCAACAATGGCTGCAGGAATAAAAGAAACCCTGCCACGCCGGGTTTTAATCTTCTTCTTATATCATTCTTGAAAACATCAAAATTAAATCTCAAATAAAAWCTATTAAATTCCTCTGCAACATGCCTCTCAGAGGTTTAGCCTTCCAAGGAAACAGAAYTACTCTTTTTTTGATTCCATCCCATTCCAAACTGAAAGAGTTAATAAGTTGTAGACAAACATCAAACATTTAGTTTTATTCATATACAGCGGGTAAAATAAGTATTGAACACGTCACCATTTTTCTCAGTAAATATATTACTAGAGGTGCTAATGACATGAAATTTTCACCAGATGTCGGTACAAAGAAATCAAAACATAAATGTCCAGAAATGAAGTTATTGGTAATAATGTGGAATGGCACAGGGAAAAAGTATTG